TTTAATATGTATACAAATTTGTTTTTAATTATTACAATAATGCTCATGGGCCAGTGTTTGGGTGCAGGGTAAATTCCTTGATCCGAGCAAGTATTTTGGAGGTGGGGGTGGGCCCCATGATGATGGTCCATCAGATGGAAGGCCTGATGAGTCCCCAAAGCAAGATGGAGATTGGAAGAGTATGGACGAGGACCAAAGGCCTGATGAGGACCAGAGGACGGATGAAGACCTGGCGACTGAAAAGGAACCGAAGTCGGGACATGGTCCGAATAGTATCGACGAGGATCCGAAAAGAAGAGAAGATGATCCAATGATAACGGACGAGGACGATGGTATGATAACGGATGGGGACGAGGATCCAAATCAGGTAACTCGTACTTATTTTACTCGTCGGATTATTTATGACCTTGTCTTACATCATGTTATTTAATATCAGGACATTACGATCGGGAGACCGCCTGATGGCTCAGAAGTGGATCATGCAGATGACCATGGACCTCGGGTGGCCGTAATTCAGGTAACCACCTTCTGTAATACTAGTATACATTCCTGATTCACATATTATAATGTGATTAATATTTCTTGTGCATTAAGATCTCACCGTTGGCAGGCAAGAGCCGGATGCTCAGCCAGATACACAGCCCACAAGACGACGAGTTAGGCGTCCATAAAAGGACTGGGCACCCGACGAGATAGTTAAGATAAGCTTAATGTCATGCATTTCGTCAATTGTCATTACTCGACCTTACGTGTTTATTGTGGTTTAGGTTGAACCGTACCTTGACCAGGACGAAACTGACCTTCAGCATGCCCCAACTGGTTGGAGGCTACGCAAGCGCCATTATTCGTGGAAACTGAAGGGTATATACACACCAACCGGCCGGCGTAGAATCACCGTGGACGCATATGACCCAGCATGTCCCATTCCTCCGCAACTGGACGGTTAGTTCCAGACATGGATGGATGACCCGGACACCGATGGACGAACTCGGTCTACTGCAGCTGGCTTACAAGGGAAGGAATGGTATCGTGATCTACTAGACCCTACTGTCCAATTGAAGGACGAGGTAAGTACCTCTTATTCCACTATCTAGTAGTACATTTGTCAATAATATTCCAATATCAACTTGTATTTCTTAAATGCAATAGGTAGTTGATGTTCTCGTCCTATTTACGGCCAAAAAGTTGGAGAAGTGTCTACATCTCTGTCGCAAAAAGTTTGCAATAGGCGACGTGCTATTTTCGGTACATACTTTTTACCGCTATTCGTTTAAACTAAAAAATACTATTTTAATTATCTGTGTAAGTAATATCATTTTGGACTTCTTGTACAGACTCTGCTGAACCGAACAGACGGTCCGTATGCGGCCATGAAACCAGGGGTCCTGTCTACGAGAATCGAATACCCCTGGAGCCAAGAGAATACCATATTTCGATATGTCTTCGGTAGGCAGTTAGACTAGAATGTGGCTTGGACTGATACAGACATTGTGTACACCCCGATCAACATAGGTGGGAACCACTGGGTGATGCTCGGGATTGATCTTGTGGAAGGTGACTTAACCATATGGGATTCACTCCAATTGGCCACTCCACTAAATTCACTCGAGAAGGAGCTGAAGCCCATTTGTACGATCCTACTTGCGGTACTACATCATGGCGGGATATTTGCAGCACGACCGGACTTGCCAGTGGTGCTATGGAGGGTGCGTCAGGTTCACACACCCCAACAAAGTAACGCCACAGATTGCGGGATTTTCTGTGTACGCTTCTTCGAGTACGATGTTACCGGGTCAAAGCTAGACACTTTGACCCAAGATAATATTGTATTTTTTAGGCGTCAGTACGCTGTACAGATGTGGGCGCGCCGTCCCATTTTTTGAATATTTATGGAATT